TACACACTACAAAAGAATTGCAGAAGGCTCTCCAATCACTCCCTGCAAAGGCTACCAACTAAATAAAAATTACTCAACAGCCAAGAAATGCAACTTCTCTTTCCAAAAACTAGAAATCATACAAATTCCTGCCCACAAAACTAAATATAGCAACAATAATATATCTAATTCAAACCCACAAAAAAAAAACTTTTTTCCACTTCTATCAAAATTCGTAAAAATTTTCTTATTAGGAAATTTTCAAAAGAGAGGGAGAACATTGTTTTTATTTTTGTTTATATCCAAACCACAATGATGACAAATATCTCAGTGGAAATAAGCTTTCCATATGGTACTATATTCAAGTATATGGGACTAACTAAACAGTTATCTCAAGTAAAGAAGCTCTTTTTCAAGTGGATAGGTTGAGCTTCTTTGATCTGTTTTAGTAACTCTAAATGACAAGTTCTTGCCTCACAATCTGCACCAGGCTCTTCTAACAAGAAAAGAAAATATCAACCTAGAAAAGGTAAACAATAGGGTAGCAAAAAATCCGGTATGCCTGCTAACAATTAAACTACAAGAAAACAACCTCCATGTCCTAAACCATGCAAGTGTTCTGAGTACGGTCTTGACTTTATCAGCCATACTGCCAGGAAGAAACACTAAAATGAAACACATAAACAAGGCACAACACAAATAACTATGGAGGTTAAAACAGTTGAAACTTCACGGAAAAAAGTGAAGCATAAAGCAATTACTCTCGAGCCTCCTTTTTCATAACATGAAACAGCATTGGAAGGTACTCAGGGAATCAAACATAGCATTTTGGCCAATTATTTGACTTATTCAATTGAAAGGGGTGTCCAAAAGCTGATTGAGCATAATGGTAATCAACCTGGCAACTACCAAATTACTACTGTTAAAGGTAAATTTGATGTCAATAACTATGAGCTATCCAAGGGTTCTTTCAATTTGACCATGAGAGGCAGGTTTCAAACAACATTGAGACCCACCATGGCCCAGCTCAACAACCTGATTTGAGATGGTCTAGATTCACAAGTACATGACTTTGTATTCAAAAGCAGATACCATTGATTAAAAAAGTAAATATTAAACTGGTAAGATACTGATCAGCATGCGCAAATATGGGTAATGCTTTTTATCAGGAGACCTTGGTGAGAGAAATAATTCATGCATTACACTGAAATACTTAAAATCCATAGTACAGGTTAGAGTATATACAATGATCTGATAACTGGATTACTTTTAAAAATTGTTTCAGGAAAAATTAAGAGAGTATTGTATATCCTTATCATACATCTCGTACAGTATGAGTTGTTTTTGTATATTATATATAGATAGTAATTTACTTAACGTAAATAGCTTATATAGTTTACATTTATCATGTAAATTAAATATATACAAATCATATTAATATGTATAATCTGCGTAAAATATAATTAATAAAGGGTATAGATACCTTCTTATATATCACAACATGAGAAACACATAGGCGAAAATTAACAAGTATCCTCATACTCAATATGAAAGACTACAAAGCAACTGTTACCACTTCTCCTTTCATCACATAATAAGAGACATGTCTTTTAACAAATCTGACCAAATGATCTCAGATCTCATCAAAGGTATTATCAGGAAAGACATTACCCTTGCAATCAACAACTATATTGATTCATACGCAACATTACATCCAATACTTCAAAAGTGCATGAATCAATATAGAGAATTTCTATAAACACACTGTAAAATAGGAAATGATAAACAACATTATCAAAAAAAACAAATGTTCTAAAAGCCATACTCAAGTATAACTTCCACCAGATGCCATATTATCTAAACTCTAATCAATGACCAATATGTAAATATGGTTTATCGCTACATAGATTGGTCATTCAAAGAAATCACAAACCCTTTCTCAATTTTTTCCTTTTCTTTCTCTTCTAATTTCAACACTAATTAGCTATCCTTAACATATTAGGCCCCACAGTAGATGGCAACAAGCCGATCAGTAAGAAGAATAAATCCATCTTTAGATAGTTAAATTTGTATTTTAGAAAGACATAAAAATTGTAAATGCATAACTATATGTATACAATGAATCTTTCTCGCAAATAAAACAAGGATGAGCTAGTTCAAAAAAAAAAAAAATCTAATCCAAACCCATATATTAGAATCAGGATATTACTACACAGTGCACTTCAAGTATACATACTCAATAAAGTTGCAAATTCAGAACCACTATCACCCCTACCAACAGTCTTAATTCCTTAAAACTCATGTCATATCACCAAGATCCACAGATACTGGCAAGAAGACCCAACATGATTAAAGACCTGATAGATATTGCAAACCAAATCAAAAACTTAAATCACCTGTCCACATACAGTATATAGATAAATTACTATCATAACACAACAACAAACAATGCATAGGAATTGGATGGACCATCCAGCATGGAAAAACAAACATAGCCTCATTTAAAGGTCAAATTAATGCATTCCCATCATCCACAAGAGCAGAACTGGTTGAAATTCTTTTACTCCTCACAGTATTATCCAAAAAAAACAGATATTCATATTCATACAGACAGTCAAGCAGCAATATAGGCAATAAATCAAGCCAGCAACCTTCCAATCCACTCATTGATTCATAAAACTAAAAACTGGACACTTACTCTAGCAATTATAGAATACAAAGTAAAAGCGCACACTATAATCTAAGACAATAAAGAAGTAGACCAACTAGCCAAAATCGACTGCAGAAACATGAATCTAGGCACAAGAACAATCTCTATCAATCCATATCTTTTTGCAAACCGGAGTTTTGCAAAATGGGAGAATGAAATCATAGACATTCCAATTAAAGAATTCTGCAAACTCATCTTCCAAACCAAACACATTGCACAATAGAGCCTTCTATATAGAAATCGTACACAGATTAATAACACCTCAGAGAAGTACATTAACTGAAAAGCAACATTCGAAAATATCAACCCCAGTAACATAAATCAGAGGATAACAACATTTGAGAACCAGGCACAAAGAAGGTTCCAGATTAATCTATAGAACTAAGAACTCCTGACAATGAGCAAACTATTTAAAAGAAACTTCACTACATATAAACAAAACATATATATAATATATTCAGATATCGAAGACAACTTCTATGCACTCATATGCATAACATCTCTAGACACACATATAGAATGCCTGAAAAGAATAATTACAATACTAATGAGTACAGAAAGTAATCAACAAAAGAAAAGACAAACACGACATAAAATACACACAATGTTCCAAAAGATCTTATAAACCACAATTGAAAAACTTATCAAAGGACAGGTTAGTACAGAACTAACCAAAGAAATCAACAATCTAGTATGTTATCTTTGCATCCAAAAAAAGTGGCTACACATATTATGCCAAGAATTCAAAGTACATCTGGGAAAAACATGGAAAGACAGATGCATAATCATAAGCAACTGGAAAAAAGCCAATGGAATTTCTGCCAGAAATAAATGGCTCCACAAAACTACTCAAAAAAGAAACTCCAGCAATCAAGATTAAACGAATAAAGAAATCATCCAGAATCAAAGAATCAAAGACATGTTTACATTTCTGATCAACCGCTTCATAAATAAACACTTTAAAGGATACACAGATTTATTTTTTATAATTCATCTTTCTCTTTTTATTAATACTAACATGGCCTCCTTGGCATGTTAGGCTCTCACAGGGTGGCAACAAGCTGATTAGTAAGAAAACTTTACTTTTTTAGATAGCAGAATTTGTAATTAGAAGTCAGTTGTAAATGTATACAAAATATACACAACAAACTTTTTAACAAATAAAGCAAGGATAAGCCAGTTTTAAAAAAAAATAAAAATAAAAATAAGTTGTCTGGACTATAAGCTATATGATTTATGTATTTTTAGCCCTATAAATTTTATATTTATTTTGTACTACTTTAAATATATAAAAAGGCTGCTTCTTGACCTTAATAAAGATAACTCTTTTATATATTAAACTCATTACCTAAGAATTCACTGACTCTGATACATTCATTTCAAGTCTTTTACAAATTGGTAACAGTGGACTAACAAGACATTCCCCCTTTTGTCACATTTATATACATCTGAAACTCTGTCAAAAAAAATATTAAACAAAACATACATTTTATGCAACAATTTAACAACACCATGGCTACTATTATCAAGGGAATAAAGGAAGACGAGGGCAAAGAGAAGACTACCACAGGTGGTTCCTCTTCCTCTACAACTGTTACTCTAAAGATTATATAGAGAATTTCCACCTTTAAAAGAGAATTAGAAGAAAATGTTAAGGTTTGGTTGTACCAAACAAAGAACATCTTGAGAGTCCAAGGAGTCATCGAAAAAGGACAAATTATTTATTATGCTGTCACAGGATTTGAAGATGCCACCCTACACTAGTTTATTAACAAGGTCAAGGATTTCACTTCACCTGTCTTCCTCTCCTGGAATAAATTCAAAAAAGAGCTCAAGAATATCTTCCGGCCTCCTCACTACTAGCAGTATCTGTATACACAGTTAAAACACCTGCACAAACAGAAACCGTCCAAGAGTACTCTACCCAGTTCAGGAATATAGTGAGCTAAATTGGCACTATGGAACAATTGGAACAAGTTGCCTATTTCATTGATAGCCTAAAGCCTGCAACACACATGAAAGTGGGTTACAAAGCTTCTGAAATATTGAACAATGTATAGAAATTAGCAATCAGGTATGACATCACCATGTTTGGAGTTGGGAAGTCTACCAATAGAAGAAACACTGCAAGAAGACCACCAGTTAACAACAATCACTATAGAGGGAACCATCCTGCTAAATTGGACCAAGCTGAAACCTGATGACATAACCACAATTACAATAACCATATTCAATACTCTAAAAGAAACAACAATATCAAAAGAACTATTATCTGTTACAACTGTAAAAAGGAAAAACACATTATTCGTGAATGCAGAAGTCCACCAAAAGCCAAGGTGAACAATATTGAAAATACTTCGTACATCCCAGATGCTAAATTTATTCAGATAGAAGAAAACAAGAAACAGTTGTTACATTTCAATGGGAAAATTAATGGACACAAAGTCTGGATCTTTCTGGATGATAAAGCATTAAAGAATTTTCTTGATGAAAAGTTTGCTACAAGACAACAGCTACCACAAAAGAACAACACCCCATTTATCATAGAACTTGCTAATGGAAAAAAAAAAGAAGTCCCTACTGAAGTCAATATCAAGTAATTAAAGTTGGATGCCTATCGTATTACTGAAATCTCTGCTCAAGTTCTGAGCCTGCAAAGATAAGATGCGATACTTGGGAAGCCCTGATTGTATCATACCAATTCTAATATCAATTGGAAAAGCAACATCCTCACCTTTCAATATGGACCATGCACTATCACTATCAATGCTAGCTCATGTAGAACTAAGCAAAACCTGAGTGTTAATCTTTTTTTATTTCTAGATATCAATTTGCAAGGATTCCATCTATTGAAGAATTATTGATTATTTGTGCCATTACTACTGAGAAAGTCATGCTCAAGGAAACCAAGTTTGCTGCTGAAGAAGCTGCTGTTATCAAGGAATTTGCTGATATGTTTTCTCCTGAATTGCTCAAACAAGTTGTCACTCCAAAGAACCATTGATCACACCATAGATTTGCTACCTGGAGCTGAACCATACTTCAAACCTACCTACTGTCTTTCATATATGGAGATGGATGAACTCAAGAAACAACTTGCTGACCTTCTTGCCAAAGAATTCATTAGACTCAGTGCCTTACTATTTGATGTCCCTGTGCTTTTTGTGCACAAAAAGAAAGGAACATTATGCCTCTGTGTGGATTATAGAGTCTTAAACAAAGTTACCATTAAGAATCAGTACCCACTACAGTATATAGAGGAATTAATGAATCACTTAGCTAGTGTCAAATATTTTTCAAAGATTGACCTCTACTCTGGTTATTATCAAATCTGCATCAAAGAAGAAGACATTCACAAGATTGTTTTTAAGATCCATTATGAACACTATAAATTCTTAGTCCTTCCCTTTGGATTGACAAATGCCCTGTCACTTTCACAACTTTGATAAATAATATCTTTTATCCATATCTAGATAACTTTATAATTGTGTACCTAGATGACATTTTGATTTACATAAGACAAAAACTGAGCACTTACAATATCTGAAAATTGTACTGACAACCCTATGAAAACATTCCTGTATGCTAAAGCCAGCAAGGAATAGCTGTTGATTTGTACAAAGTAGAAGTCATTAATAATTGACCCATACCAATTAATACTTTAGAAGTAAGATCCTTTCTAGGATTAGCAAGCTACTATTGCAAGTTTGTATTTGGATTTTTTGCAATAGCCACACTCCTCACTGAAGAAAAAGCTAATTACCACACCTGTCCTCCTGTTGCCTGATCCTGCCAAACTATTTATTGTAACAACTAATGCCTCAGACTTTGCAATTGGAGCTGTCATGATACAAGACCACAAAAATGAAAAACAACTAGTTGTCTATGAATCTAAGAAACTATCTCCTGCTGAGCAAAATTATACTATTCATAAGAAGGAACTTTTAGCCATTGTGTATGCCATTAGAACTTGGAGAATGTATTTAAAAGGACAACAGTTTACTATTATCATTGATCATGCCTCATTAGAGTATATCAAAACTCAATTCAACTTGTCAAAAAGACAAGCTTACTGGTTAGAAACTCTTCAAAGTCACAACTTCACAGTTAAATACTGACCTGAGAAAACAAATATAGTACTGTAGCTGATGCCCTGTCAAGACAACCACATGTTGTCTCTATCACTACTCTCTCTGTCACCCTTGCTGATGATCAAACTTTTCTGCAAGCATATTAACAAGACAAATATTTTGCCACTATCCTTGATACATTGTAACATCCTGATCAAGCTATGGAACAAAAATAGAATCATGTCAAAAATTTCTTCTGAAAGAACTAAAGAATATACTTTCATAAAGGACACTATTTAGCCATCTCTATTGACAAACACATCTACATCCACATCCTTAGAGAACACCATGATATAGAAGCCACTGGACATTTGGGAATTGACAAAACCACTGAGAATATCATGTGAACCTTCTACTGGCCAAAGATGGGAAAAGATATTCATAAATATATTTAGATTTATAATACTTGCCAAAGAAACAAAGCTAGCAATCAACAACTTGCTGGGCTTCTCCAACCATTACCAACACCTATCAAGCAATGAGAAGAAATCATCATGAATTTTATTGTACAACTGCCTCTGACAAGACAAGAACACAATGTCATTGTTGTGTTTATAGATTGCCTCTCTAAGCAAGCACACTTTCAACCTATGCATACATTTGCCATAGCACCAGAAGTCACCAATATCTTTTTCAACACTATTTTTAGGAACCATGGATTACCAAGGACTATTATATCAGACTGAGATGCAAGATTCACTAGCCAATTCTGACAAGCTGTATTCAAACACTTAGGAACCATGACTACCATATCTACTACCTTTCATTCTCAAATAGATGGGCAAACTGAGCGAATAAATAAAACCTTAAAAGAAATGCTTAAAATCTACTTCATCTACAAACAAAACCAATAGAATGAATACTTCCCAGCTGCTGAATTCACATATAACAACTCAAAGCAAGCCTCTACTGGATTCACACCTTTTGAATTAAATTGTGAACAACATCCAACCCTCCTGATCACCATGACAACAACTGTAACAACCAACATATCTACTGCAGATGATTTCTTATATCACTGGAATATCATGTTTGAATTAATCAAGGATACACTCGAGAAGCCCAGGAATAACAAATGAAGTATGCCAATGTATACTGCCACTATCTTATATTCAAATTAGGAGATCAGGTCCTGCTCAATATGAAGAATACCAATTTACCTATAGATCGACACTGACCAACAAAGAAATTAACACAAAATATGCTGGACTTTACTCTATCTATGAAATAATCTCTTCAACTGCATACAAATTGGACCTACCATCTAGTATAAAAATTCATCTTGCATTCCATATCTCTTTATTGAAACCATATCAATAATCACCTGACTATTTTCTTCAAGAAGTTCTACCACTACCAGTTATTTACTCTGATAATAAATAAGAGGAATATGAAGTTGAAGCTATTCTGGACAAAAGGACCATTTGTAAGAAAATTCAATATCTAGTCAAATAGGTAGGGTATCCTCTCCATGATTCCATCTGGACCTTCAAGAATAAATTAACCAATGCAATGCAATTAGTGAAAGAATTTGAAGAGACAAGGACATCTCACTCTTAAGAGAGGAAGAATGTAGTAATTTGAGCCTACCACCTTACTTTTGTCGAGACTACTGAGATTTCTGGAATTGCTGAGATTGCTGAGATGACATCATAATTACACTACATAAATTATCTGAACTTGTTTGCCATAAATAGTAATTGACTATCAGACTATGGTGAATAAGACACCAATCATTTCTTTTTATTTTATTTCTTTTCTTTTATTTTCTATTCATAATTAGTTGTATATTACATAAGTTGTCTGAACCATAAGCTATATGATTTATGTATCTTTAGTCCTATGTATTTTATATTTATTTTGTGCTACTTTAAAATGTATAAAAAGGTTGTTTCTTAACCTTAATAAAGATAACTCTTTTATGCATTAAACTCATTACTTAAGAATTCACTAACTCTGATACATCCATTTCAAGTCTTTTACATTAACCCAATTGGAGAAGTGGGGTGGACATGAGGCACCAATCAATTCTTTCTATCACCAATTATATTATTAGAACATATAAGATAACCAATAGAAACTTATTTATATTCAGTTACTAACATGTTTTGTGTCAACCAATTAGATGCCAGGTAACATTGGCTACCAAAAATTCAGGGTCAAACTGAGATAGGCAAAATCTCCCAAGAAAACTATGAAAAACAGTAAACACTTTAAGAAGATATAAGATAGTATGTGAAAAGATAGATAATAAGTCTTCTCCTGTCAACAGAACTTTTATTTCTTGTTACTTTTAGCTTTGTAAGGTGACACTCCACTTGTCAGTTCTTTTACTTCCTAAAACCTTCTTGCTCTTAGTAGAGAAAGTGCATACTTGAGTCTTTTGAGGCCACTAGAGACTCAAGTTTTTATTCAAAGGAGTTTATAAACAAGTAAGGGAGGGTAGAAGAGATACATAAAGACAAGTTTCAAGTTGTTTTAATGAAAGTGTAAAGACTTTATTAGCAAAGAAGTATAAATTT